CCGGCCCTCCCCGGGGCCGCCCGTGTCCGGCCTGCCTCTCCACAGCTCCGTGCGCTCACGGACCATCCATCCGACGCCCGTCCACAGGCCGCCCTGCCCGTCCGTCTGTCCCCCCGCACCCACGCGCGTCCCTCTGTCCATCTCCACGCTGCCCTGCCCGTCCGCCCGTCCATCTGCCCCCACGCTGCCCTGCCCGTCCGTCCATCCATCCATCCATCCATCCATCATCCCTCCCTCCCCATGGCTCTCAGCATGGACGCACGCCCCTCCGACGCTCCCCTCCCCAAGCCCAGCTCTACCGTCTCGCTCCCACAGCAGCCACCAGCCCCACCATTAACACGTGGCACTAATAAAACACGGGGCACGTCTAAACGCAACGCCCCGAGGTCTGTGCTGCTGCAGGAGGCCCTGGCAGAGGGGCGATGCGCAGGGCTGCGAGCCCCGGCAGAGCCCACGGCAGCGCCGACGGCTGCGGGGGCCGGTTTCACTCGCCGGTTCGGCCTGGCGCAGATGCTATCTGCAGGAAGCAAACAACCCCGGCAGCGAGGCATGCGAAACCCCATCCCGGCAGCCGGCGATGGGGGCAGGGGTTTTGCCCGTCCCTCCGGGGAAAGCCACAAGCTCCCCGGGGCTGAGGTTGCCCCTACGCCCCGTAACACACCCAGCCCAACGCAGGATCCCTTGTCCCCCGTGTCCATCACCCCAACATAGCAAATAGGGCATAGAAGGAACGACGGTGACAAAGAGGGATCCTGGATGTGGAGTTGGAAGGTGTGCTACGAGGTAGCTGCCAAAATCTAGCCAGAGCCTGGGCATCTCTGCAGGACAGAGGACGTTGCCTGCCCAGCCAGGGAACCATCAAACGGGTTTCGGCAGCAGCCGCCGCGGACGGTCTGGGTCAAGATGGGAGAGAAGGTTAAATTAATAAACAACTCGACCTGTTCTTGCACAGTGAACTGATTTATGAACCATTTCTCCTTTATGGGTGTTGGGTTAAGGCCAGACATTTTTGACTATAAGTCTGTAACGTGTATCAGTTGTAATCGGAGAATAACCCGGCTAATCCCTGGAAAACACAGGCACTGCCTACACAGGCAGGCAAAGCTTAACTTCAGCTCGTGCTCGTGCCAGCAGCACGACAGTGTGCAAAGCCCCGTGGGCAAGGGTCTTTTCTCACGCTCAGCACTACGTGATGCCTCCCCATGCTAAACACTTGTTAGGAAGACGCTGTTCTTCCTTTCTTCTCCTTTTCAAAGCCGGCAACCGTACGGCATAATTTTCCCGAGTACGTCTGAACCCTTGCTGTGCTCATCCCAGGCTCTGCCACCACCGCCAGCCTGGCCCGGCCCCTCCTTTGCTTCCTAGCTTCCTAAAGGCAAATAAGACAGATGAAAGGGGACTCAGTGTTTGCCTTTTCATTTACACAAGGTGCTTCAGTGGAAGGCTGGTGGGCTGCAGACAGCACGCAGCAATTTAGTAAATTCATTTTTAATCAAGTCATCTTTAATAAAACCATCTCAGGTCTTTATGTGGGCACTGAGGCAGCAATATAAGAGCTCATTATTGTATTTCTTTTATACTTCAGTTAAAAGTTACCTTCCTTCTGCACTGCATAATCATCAACCAGAGCAGCCAGCCAGCCCAGCCTTTCCCCACGCCTTGGGTCTGGCAGCACTTCTAACCCCACAGCCGAGGCACACGCAATGCCATTCCCAGGCTGCCCAACCAGCGGCGAAACGCTTTAATAATCCCATCGGCGCAGCCCCGGCAGTGCGGCCTCGGCACCCCCGGGGTCCTTGGCTGGCGACACAGCCACCGGCACGGAGCGCAGTGCTCGATGGACCTCCACGGGACACAGGCAGCCGCGGCCAGTGGCATGAACTGGAAACAGAGACACTCGGGGATGGGCAGAAGTGCTGGCGCAGTGGGAAAAGGAGGCTCAGGCTTGCTCCACCGCCTGCAACCCTCTGCGCATCCTGGGGGCGGTGAGGTTTGAGGGTAACCTGAAGAGCAAAGATCGGTGCATTTTGATTGGGATGTTTTTCTCACACGTTGCCCTTTTTTCCCACACCATTCCCCATTTCCAGACCGAAGCGCTCCAGGGACAGCCACTACAGATATTTTCTGCCACCTTTGTGGGAGCTGCTGAAGAAATGCCCGAATTGCCCTCGTTCTTGCAACAGATACATTTCTGGGCGCTTCATAAACACTAAGGAATTATTTCTGCCCGCTGATGCCAGCAGCACAGCAAGGATTGCTTTGAGCAGAGCAACACTGAAGGAGATACAGATGGGGTGATGCGAGTGAGAGAGACATCAGAGTCTCGGCTAGTGTCTTAATTGCCTATTTCTAATTGCAATGTTTCTCATCCCACTCCTATTGCTCTGCTGTGCCTACCTGAGCAAGATAGGCTGCTTCTGGTTTTACCTAAACACGACAGCCTGCTTCTCCTAGAAGACATTTATGCTTGGATTAATCGCACGCAGTGAAAAGGGCGACTGAGGAAGAGATGCTGTCACAAGAGCTGTACAGAGGTGCCTTGGCACCCATGTGCGCACGCCAAGAGCGCAGACAGCCAAGGAGAGCGTGGAGGAGAGGGGCATGCTGCTGCGAAGCCCAATAAACCTGTTGATTTGCAGCCCACTCCCGTACGACGCAGCAGCATGCAAAAGGAACACGATTTTCGCTGCTGGGCCTTGTTTTTACAACTCAGCTCTTTGACAGCAGCGCTCGGGCTAGAGTGCAATGCTGTCCCGGGAGAGCAAGCACTCCCTGTGCACCACCGAACCTCTCACCGCTCCTTTGAGGTGCGTTAACTGAGTGCCCAGCACGGCCAGCTCTTTGGAGGGTGGCCATGGCTTTGGGACTTCTCGCAAAACCCTTGCATAGATGAAGTACAATCTGCTGTCCTCCTAGCGCACTGTAATCATTGACTTGTGTCAAAAGGGCTGGCTTCCCTCCCAACTTCTTCTGCCTTGGAGCCAAACCACTGCTCCAGTTTTTGATGCAAATCCTGAGAATTATTTAGCAGCATCTTTTTCAAAAGCCAATGACACCAGTGCATTTTTGCCTAAAGGAAACATTGTTCTTTCTGGACAACTTTTCCTCCATTTTCCTCTAAGGCAGCACTGGGAGATCTCAGGACTGTGTCTCTAAAATATTCATGTGATGGCTATTCATTATTCATGTAGGCTCACAATGCTCGATTCAGCGGTACTGCCAGCCTCAGCTTGACAAGCAGACCCATTAAGAACCCCCCCACAAAGCACCCCTGCAAGAACACCAAGACAATTTTGCTCTGTGCACAACCGCAGCTGCTTGAACCCCCTTCTTTCCAGCCGTACTCAGAAGCATGCCGGCATCGTAGGAACAGGGGGAGCCCGCTCCGCAAGCTCCACCATCTTTTGGTGAAGGTCTTGGTCCCCTCTAGGAAGAGCAGCACTTCAGGGAGGCTCTGAAGCAGGGCTGCCTGGCCAAGGCTGAGCCCTGAGAAGGCACCGACCCTGCCAGGGCCCTCGGGCGAGTTTTTTAGACTCCGCTTCTTCCACCAGCCCTATGAAGATAAAATCGCCTCCCCGCCTGGCAGGGTGGGAGAAGGTTAATTAGAGAGAGCTGCCTGTGTCTTTGAAGGTGCAAAGCGCCGGGCGGGAAGTCGGCAGGGGATTTCTCCAGCTCCCAGCGTGCCAGCTCTGCCTGGGCAGGCTCGTCCCTGCTGCCTGCTGCTGCCTGCACCGGCTCCCCCTCCACATGGGCAGGGATGGCCCCATGGTGGCAGCCCCCAGGATGGGGCATCGAGCAGAGGATGCCTCCCCGACACCACCTCTGCACCCCTTGGCTGGCAGCATGGCGGGAGGACGGGTGCCCGGCACAGTCCCCCTGGCCCGGCGAGCCCCACCCCGAGGGTGCCGTGACGCGCCGGGGCCGCCGGTGCAGGAAGTGGGGTGTGCCGCCCTCGGTGACTGAAAAACAACCACGGCGGAGGTGTGCCGCCACCGCCATGGCCCTGCCAAGCGGCGCTGCCCCGGGGCTGCCCCCGGGCTGCGACACCCTGAGCTGCACCGGCATCACCCTCGGTGATGATGATCCACAGGGCCGTCGCAGCGTGAACCCCTTGCAGTCCTCACACCGCCCCGGCATCGCCCGTGCCCCCAGAACCGACCGCCAGAGCCCCGCCGGGGCAGGGCTGCCGGAAGGATGGGGTGCTGCTTCCCTTCGGAGAGGCAGGAGGGCAGCAGGGGCCCTCCCCATCCATTAAGGGCTGTTAAGGACCCTTCTTCCTGAGCAGGAGATGCTGTCCCCTGCCCTGCTGACTCGTCTCAGGCTGCCCCAGCTCCTGGCAGCAGGCAGCCATCTGCAGCCGCTGCAGGTGAGACCTGGATGACGGCCGGCAGGGCTGGGGACCGTGGCACCCCACCTGCCCCCATCGATGGCCCGCAGGGCCCGGGTGCCACTCAGCCTTTCCGTTTCATGGAAAATCCTGACAGTTCAGTGTTTCCTTTGTCCCGATTCGGAACAAAGAGTCAAAACTTCAACGTTTAGCATAGTTACAGAGCCTCTGAAATACTTTGTTTTGGAAAATACTGAAGTGCCGGTTTGAAATGTTTTGCTTTGACAGTGTCACTTCGGCTGCTGCGGCACAACGAGCTCCGTTGCTATCTGAGAGGAGAAAGCCTGGGAAGTTTTCATTTGCTGACAAAATCAATACATGCCCATTAATTATTTTGGTCCTGTCATATCAACTTTTCCCAGCACCTTTTCCCGCTACTCTCCCCAGCCAGAGACCTGCATCAGCTCCAGTTCCAGCTGCTGGGCACAAAAGCCAGGGCTGCTCTCTGCAGGGTTTTACCCTCTCCCATCGGGCAGGCCCCGGCATCTCCCCATGCCGCAGCAGGGCAGCCAGCACGGGCAGCCCGGCAACCCCCTCCAACGGAGGCAGTGGGCAGCTGCCCGCCTGCCTGCACCCCAGCGGGGCAGCGTGCACCCCGGAGCCTATGGGCTCGTGGTGGGGTCCAACCGCGGGCTCCAGCGCAGACCGGAGCGGCCAGGGGAGGAGGAGGACGGAGCAGGGCAGGGAGGGGGGTCTGCCAAGGGCCAAGTGCAGCACTCGCCGTGCTGCCGGCGTGGGGCAGGCTGGGCCGCGGGGGAGAGATGGTATCTTACAGACTTTCCCACGCCTCGCACAAGCTCTCCAGGCGGGCGCATGCAGGCAGGTGATGCTTGGTAGCTGCTGGGGTATTGCATAAATAGAGAGCAGGCTGCTGTGCTTCCCCCGGGCTACAGGGACGTGCAGATAAGCCCCCAGTGTGTATGTCCTACACAGCATGGGTGCTGCCGGCCTCGCAGACGGGGAGCGAGCCTCGTGCTCACTGGGAATCAGGCAGCATGCCCTGGCCCCGCAGGGCAGGCTCCCCTCTCATTGTGCCTCAGCTTCTCCTCCTGGCAGTGAAATACAGACATGCAGTGTCACAGGAATAGCCCCATGCTTAGGGCAGGCGCCCCAAGCTTAACTGGGCTGCTCCCTGCTGCCAGACTTCACCCAAACACTGCGACACAGCTCCTCAGCCCAGCACGGGACTAGGAGGGGTCAGCATTTCATTTGGGAATCGCCGTCACAGGCCACCACGATTTGCAATGTGCTCTTCTGTTGCCTAAGCATGTGGTGGCTCTCCATGCCCAGAACTGAAGCAGCCGCTGCATAGCAGGAAAGAGATGGTCCTGAAGCTAATTGGGCCCATTAATGAAGCAAGGAAGGCTGCACTGGTCTCTGGCACACCAATTGGTGAGCAAGCATGGCAAGGAACTGAGCTGAGACAGTTTCCATCCTTGAGCAGGGCTGTAACCACAAGACACCTTCCCTGCAGCTGCACTTCCAGCTGGCCCGGAGGCAGCTATGCCTTGGGTGCTGCTGCTCCCCAGCCACCACCTGGAGCCCCCGGCAGGTCTCTGAGGGCCTAATAAGGAAACCTCAGCCCCAAAAAGGCAACGCAGAAATGGGAGTGCTGCTGACTTGGGGGCTGGGGAGGTGGTGGGGAGGGCAAGGGGGTTGGAGCTCCTCCTCACCTTACATGCGGCTGGGGTTTGCAGACAGGTATGCCTGAGGGCTGTCGGAGAGACACGGGGCTCAGCAGCCTGTGCGAGCCATGCCATGAAAATTTAATGTCTTCATTCCTGAACATGGGTTACTTTAATCGGGGTGACAGAGGCACCTGCCCAGCATGGCTCTGCAAACAGCTCTGTGGGAATAATTATCACAAGTGTCCGTGTGCCAGCACCAGCACCCCCTGCCACTAACCTCCCTCTGGAGGTAGTGCTTCAGGGAGGCATGAGGGAATCCTTGCCTGCTCATCCCACCCGGAGCAAACACCTGCCTGCAGAGCCACCAGCCCGAGGCCCAGGACAGGCTCCTGTGCCCACAGCCAGAGGCAGGCAGGGCTTTGGCAAGGCAAGTCCCGCTCCCATGGAGAGGCTGCCGTGCCCACAGGTCTCAGAGGAGCAGCCGGGGTTGCTCTCGGCCTTGCAGCTCACAGGCACTGTTCAGGGAGGTGGCAGCCGCTGAGCACGGGGCAGGTGTGGGTCTGGGGGTGCGAGCTGGGAGCTGCGGGCTTTCAGTGCAGTGGTTCAGCAGGACACCTCGAGGGGAGAAGGCAGCTCTGTGGACACCATGGGAGTGCCACACCACATGTGGGTGCCACATGTCACCCTAAGCCATTGGATTTATTTTATGTGCACAGCAACATCTTCTGTTTTCATCTTGCAAGACAAAGAAAACAAAGCAAAAGCACATTGGATGCGTCTGGAGATGAAATGAATTAGCCGTACAAACCAAAGTCTTTCTCTCCCTGCTATGCAGCGGGATGGTCCTGTAGGCTGGCAGGAGCTGCCTGCAACGGGCTGCAGCATGGTACATAGCCACTCCTGCTCACCACACAGACAGCACGGTGGAGGGCTCCTGATGGGTGCCCAGCACCCAGCCTGCATCAGGCCAGCCAGGGCCGAAAGCAGGGACCGCCCCCAGCTGGGGCGGGCTGCTGCTGGGCACCACTGGCTGGGACAGACCTCAGCCCCTCGCCTGCCCTCCTGCAGAGTCCCAGCGGGACTCTACCCGAGAGGCAGAGGGCTCGGTTCAGCACAGTGCTGAGCCCAGACCAGCATCTCGGTGGGCACTTTACACCAAGGCGTCCAGCCAGCTTGCCCCAGCCGTGCAAGGGCTGGTGTGCGCTGACCAGTGCGTGCCCGGCCCATGCAGCTCTCCGGCTGCAGTTTTCCCATAGGAAAACGGGAGCATTAACACATTCACGTCTCAGGGCCAGCAACAGCCTTCCTAACGCTGCAAAAGTGCTGCGCTAGAGCCGCCGAAGACAGGAAATGCAGCGTGTTACAGCTCCACACCCACCACCGGCCTCTGGAAACGAGAAGAGAAGAGATGCGGTCGGGCCTCCTACCAGCTGCGGCTGAGCAGCCTCAGGGGACGGCGTTGACGACGCTGCCCTCCAGTGAGGGGGTATTTTTGAAATGTAAGCAAATGGGCAAGTGCTTTTAATAATTTGACGCCGGTGACTGTGGTTACTTGCAGTTCCCAAGTAACCTGCTAGATGGCATAATGTAATAATAATGATAATAACGATTTTTTTAATTGATCCAAACTCTAGAAATGATTTGTCAAGTAATTTAAGCAGGCGTTTACATAGTTTCCTGCACGAGTACGTACCGCTCCCCTTTTGTCGAGCCTTTATTCAAACCCTGACGAAGTCCCATTCTCTGCAATCGTGGAATTTCTATTCTTTCTGGCAGCGGATATGATACGTGACACGAGAAGCTATAGCAACGACACAGAGACCAAGTTTCCAAAGCTCTCATTATGTCTGTGACTGTACTCGAGCAACCCCAGCAAGAAATTACAAGACAGCTTCTTGTTATTGGGCTGCTGCGTATAAATAAAGAGCAAAGCATTACTCATACATAATAGCTTTTATCTGCTGCAGGCCCTTCGGCTCTCAGAGCCGGACTAACCAAATCAAAGGGAAGATTATGTTGCAAGAGTGGGACTCCCGCACGGCACGCCCTGGCCGGGAAGGCTGCTGGGGTTTGGGCTCTGCGGGGTGCGGGGACTCCCGGGGCATGGGGCCCTGCAGCCGCCTTGGGATTTTTATCAGTTTGAGAGGTTTCGAGCTGCCGGTTCCCCCCACCCCACACCCCCCCCGGCTGCTGGAGGCTGCAGGAGA